TTGGTCAACGTAATGACATCCATTCTAGACGAGTGAAGTGCAGCCCACCTATCCAATTCGTTACCCACGTTTTTTTTTCAATTATTGGGGCAAAAAGTTGCCAGTGGGACATTGAGACTAGTAGCACCCACCCATCGAGCATCAGTGATCGGCTTTACGAAGGAACAAGTAATCTGAGTGACGTAATAAGATTTGCATCCCTCAATCCATGAGATGTGGGGGGGGGGGGGTTGAACAACCACGTTATATGTATTAGCATTGTTTACCTTCAAATTCTGGACGAAAAGCGCATACTGTTTGGCTCAGTTGCTATAGCACAATCAATTTAGGATTGTAGCTATCTTTGCGTCGTAGAAATATTTGCAATTTTTTTTGCGTTATTCACCCTCTTCTGAATATCATTACGCAGTTTTTCAGACTATATAATACAGGGAGGTGATCCCACTGGTACTGGCCAGGGTGGTGAAAGTATATACGGGAAGCCTTTCAAGGTCTGTGGATTTTCTTAGTACAGTAGGGGGTTTATTCTGTTTGGTTAGTCTTTGGAAGTCTCAGATTGATTGAAATTTAGGATGAGTTCCATCAGCGTCTCCGATTCAATCGTCGCGGCCTTGTTGGAATGGCAAATGCTGGCAAGGATGACAATGGTAGTCAGTTCTTTTTCACTGTCGGTAACGATGTTCGCGAGCTCGACAAGAAACACACCTTGTTTGGAAAGGTATCCTAGTAGCTACCTGTTTTCTGTTTGGTTAAAGGTTTTAGTACTCACTTTCTATTTCTTAATTATGTAGCTCCGCTACGGATTTCATATGAAGGAGGATACTTATCCATAGAATCGCTATAAAGCTTTGCTTAGATTGTTGGAAACACTGTATTCAATATGCTGAAGATGACTGAATGCGACGTCGACGAAAACGAGAGACCAAGAACGATACATAAGATCAAAAGCGTCGAAATTCTCACAAATCCATTCACAGACATCAAGCCAAGTTGAGTTAATTTTCTAGCATGAATACTCTTTCAATTAAAGACCTTTTTGTAGAAGTTAAACTTCAACACATGTTCGGAAGTTCGGCTATCCTCAATAAACTCAACAGCTTCTCAATAAACTTGTTTTAGAGAGCGAGCGAAAGAGAAGAAGGAGAAGAAACGTGAGAAGAAGCCAGTGGAGACAAAGAAGCTCAACTTACTCTCATTTGGTGACGAAGCAGAAGAAGACGAGATGGAGGTAGATCAAGTGAATAAGGTAAGTGGAAAAGTTCACGTGCAAGGTAACTGAGTAAATATAGTCAGACATGTTATTTCATGGTGTACTTACCAGGAAGGTCTTTCAGGACATGGAGCCCTTTTTGAAAACGGTTTTTTGCATGATAAAGGGGCACATGCATGGAGTACAAAACTAGGCTCCATTTTTTCTGAGCGGCCCTCTGAATGCCAAAAAAGGAGTGAAAAAAATTTCTTCAGAAATCGGAGTTTTCACACCTTCAACGTGGTTTATATCACTCGTTATGTTAAGTGGACGCACAATAGAAGGTTTTCTTCACCTGAACGTTGAAAACAGCGTGGAATAAAGCCAATACCAAAAATTGTATATAATAAGTGCTCAAAAGCACAAGGAAGTTTCATCAGAGTCGTTGACATTCATTGTACAGCGGTGGTCGGATGGTCGAGTGGATAGCGTGATGGACTCTGGTTGGCACGGTTTGTTCGAAGTTGTTGGTTCGGTTCCCCTCCATGCTCGGATTTTTGCATTTTTCCGATTATCACTTTTTTGCATTTACATGTGCTTGCGCGTGAACTTAAAGCCTATAGGTGTCATTTCCAAGAACTTTCTCCCACAATTCTGCGATATTTCGTAGTACCATGTTTTTTCAGTTGTGTACGAAATTCCGTTTACAAGCAATAAATAACTAGCAGTTATGGTAAAACTCAATGAAGCATCTGAATCACAGGCGCGGATCACACCAACTGCATCTAACGAACGCCAGAAAAGTGAAGTTGTCATTTTCTTCGCAAGGAACACCTACTCCATTTCCCTTGAAGGCAGATTGCCGGCGTTGAGGAACGTCCAGGATGCTCGTCGACGTAGCCAGTGCCCACCCAGGCATACGCCATGCATCGACGAGATCAAGGGTGATGCCAGATTGCCCCATGGGCAGGAACTGCGGTGGAAGTGTAACTATCAACCAAACGTGCCGCTTGCTATCATCTCGAAGCTGTCTCCAAGTGGGAAGCGTGCATGCCGTACTGACTATGGGCTAACCCATGGCCCAATTTTTGAATTCGGGCCGAAATCTTGATCTTCTCTAAAACTGCGGCTATAAGGGTAATTATAGGCGCTGATTACGAATCTGACGTCCATTTTTGATGGAGGCGCGATATTGCGCCATTTTAGCCTCCTCGGGCACCAACTCGGCGCCGCTTTAGCGCCATACAATTTTCGCCCCAATTCTGGGCAGAAAGCTAATCAGAAAGGTTGATGATGATTGTAAGAACAGTACCTATTTTTATCGGCGGTAACATTTGGAGTTATTTAACATGCGCTAACATGAAATGCAAAATTTTGTCATCAGCCGGGACCGATCCCTCGACCGATTTTTCATACCTTTTTTGGCATTAGGAGGGCCGCTCAGAAAAAATGGAGCCTAGTTTTGTACTCCATGCATGTGCCCCTTTATCATGCAAAAAACCGTTTTCAAAAAGGGCTCCATGTCCTGAAAGACCTTCCTGGTTAGTTGTCTTCACATGACCTTATTACAGGTCTTGAATAAGAAAGGGAAATCTGCTCATGATGTGCTATCCGACGATGCGAAACTTAGCAAACAAGTAGCAGTCACTGCTGACGAGATGGCGGATTACGAACCGGTCTGCTATTTGTTTTTTTTTAGTTGCTCGATTGTGGTGTACATCACCCAATGCAGTAGAAACACTTACTTTGTTTGGTATTATTTAAATCGTGTCATTACCTCTCTGAAATTTCCTCTAAACCATAATAGCGACCCATATCAGGAAGTCCATACTCTGACTGGGTAACCAGTTTCAATTCTATCTACAACTTAAAAATTCTCTTTTTGTTCTGTTCTCATACAAATTCCCTTCCTTCTTTGCATGTGCTTTCAAAGAAATTGGCTCAGTCTTAACCATGACCATAATTCAATTCTTTCCTGAACTGGTCCTACTTCATTTGCACAACGCAGCAATTTATAATTCGTATATCCCTGTGATGGCTGGAGGGCGGAGCGGTTTTCATTCATCATTGGTGAACTAGATGCATTACTGCGCTGGGTAGGGGGGGGGTCTGGTTCACAAATAACGCTTGCTTGGGACCATCCTTCAAAGTTTTCCCACCAATGAAACCCAATGACGTCACCAAAGGCACTCATCTTTCCAGCCGTCGTGTTCATGCCTTTAAGGGCAACATTTCCATTCCTGAGTAGGGCATATTGTTTCAGTCGACAACTTTATACAACTGTACAACTTTATAAACAACTTTATACAACCGTACAACTTTATAAATTTGATTCGTCATCGTCTAGACAGAAGTTTTTTCTCAGTTGATGTTGTTGTCTTCTTCTTCAAAAATAGGAGACTTAACGAAGTTGTTTAGTGTCCTTTCTGCACTTTCTCATCCTTTTAGCCTTGTGCGGGGTATACCTCCTTGCACACAGCTGCCGCTACCATACGCATGCCATGACTTCTGCGACCACATGAAACACACGACCTTGTTACTTATTATGAAAAGCATGGTGCTGGTCACCAACCAACAAAATGCTATTGGTTGATATTAACATTTCCATTGAAAGACTGGATAGAAATCGAAGTACGGCCAACTTTTTCGGATAGGCTTAATCATATTCGAAAAGTCCGTTCCAACCGACCAATTCCAATCCTTTTTCAATCGAAGGCAGCCAGTAGTTTATAGAAATTATGATTATTTTCATTCATTTGCATTCATTCTGTTCAGGAAGAGGACGCGGAGCGAGATGCATCAACGGTATCTAGTATACGTGCCAAATTTGCCGCTAAAAGGAAGGTTGGTTTTGTACACATTGGATGATACGTAGGTTTTCCACCACGAGCTTTCTGGGAAAATTTCGAAATCGGAGCGACAGGGAGAAGAACCATGTTCCACTGTCTACACTCTACACTGAAGCTTGTACGGCTCGCGAATAGCCTCTTCCGGGAGGCTAGACCTTGAAGTAATTATGGTGTAGGATCCAGGCTATCCAGACATCCACTGTGAGGGACTAGTCGGACGGGCTATCACGAGACATCGCCTGAGCTTAACAACTGAAGGCCCACGTTGATCGCACCCGTCGACAGGGCAGAGAGCATTATTTCCTATAACGAGTGTTCTACCTCACCAAGCAAATGCGTCCCAAGCTGAATTGGAGAGGTACGGCTTGTGATTTCTCAGGCTCCCTCAAGGCCTTACCCGATCTACCACCGTCCTATTACAGGCTACCTAACCATCTCCAGTGAACCTTAAACGGAAAAGTTCAAGACGGAAGATTTGTGCTTCAACTTATACACAAGTCCTCTGTCTTGAGTACATCATATGAAGTGGAGGATTTTATGGTCTAAATCGTACTTCTCTTATTTACTGATTCAATTTTGTGCATCTGAACTGAACTGCTTGAAGGTTTTACTTTTTAGATTGAAGAAGTGGATGATGACGGGAAGGATGAGGACTTTGAGAAAATGATTGACGATGAACGACGGAAACAGGAGCGCGAAAGAATGTGACTTTTACGAAAATTTTATGTCAAGACGTATTTCTTGTACAAAATGATCCACTGTGATACACAATGTGCTGAATGCTTATCATATATCACGATTGCAGGGAAGCTATGCAAGCTGAACTGAAGGCCATGCAAAAGGAACACATCAAAGCGCTACGAGGACCGAAACAGAAGCCCAAGGAAGAAGGTGACGAAATGAGTTGTTTTCATTCCTGGGGCTCCAAGTCATAACAGATCTCTTTTTTCGTTTTTTGTTTTGAGAAAAGGGATCACTTTTAAGGATGTTACATATTAACCCCTCGCAAAAATTTTGCAAGTAATATGAAAAATCCATTCAAATACCGCGTTTATTTGATTCGGTTTTTATTACTTTTAATTACCACGACGCATTTTTACTTCGACCATACTGATACAGAAAAATCTACAGTAAACAAGATATTCAATAAACAAATAAGCCATTTTCATGCAACAAACCTATGCCACGGCCTCCAAAGGTCTTCCACAAACTGGTTCTTACAACTGGAAAATCTTCAATCACGCAAAGTTGCTAACATAATTCAATAAGCGGTAACAAGTATGAAGAATAAGGTACTCAAGCCAGTTTCAATACTGTGAATCATCTCAAACTTGAAGCAGCAACTTTCGAATTACATCAAAAGTTGCGCAAGAAAATTTTGCAAAGCACTGTGCGGGAGAGAGAATTCAGGTTTCTAGCTTATTTTCTGTCTCTGCGATACCCTTACATACGTTTTGTACTGCAGTAAGTTCAGCATTTAATGTTGTAAGTTGAGTTCTCGTTTAGAAGAGGAGCAGTCGGAAGCTATGAAACTTTATCATGGACTGAAACTGAAATTCAAGTCGAAATCGAAAGATCTTGTGAAGACGAAAGATCCGAATCGTGAGAATCAAGTAAGAAAAGTAATCGAAAATCAAAAACTGTTCTATGAAGCCCATTCTAAGCTTTATTTACTACTTAGCAATCATTTCTATTTTTGCTGTTTCTGATTTGTATCAGTGACCTTTTTGAAAGGAATCCATTCATGTTCTTTTACTGCCAGTCGTTTTTAACAGACCATGAGTATGCTGGAACGATTTCAAAAACGGCTGGCGGCATCGAGTCAGTCGGCGATTCTTCATGATAAAAAGGTTGTAATAAAGGAAGACGAGGAGGAGAAACCTGAGGAAAAGAAGTTTGGAATCGACCTGGATGCAGAGGATGTCGTGGGTGATGATTGGTAAGTTGGTTTTTGAGGTTGTGGACTAGTTATTTTTCTTGGTAATTCGTAAGCTATTATTTTTCCAATTTTTTTTTCGGTAATCTGCACTTCACACATTCCATGTGAGAGTCGATAAGTTTTCTTAGTAAACCCAATCTTACAATGTGTTGCTCTTTCATATGATTCTCCTTCGGTTTTTAGTTCACTGCTTCTCTCAGAAATTGATTGCCACGAGTGGTAGGTAAGGAATTATATACGTGAAACTACTGGGAAGAGGACCTATTTGCCTCTATACGGGAAAACCAATAGAGCTCGTTTTGGCTGTTAATTGCTGGCTTACGTCGTCGTTTTCTATGCGAAAGTTATTACAAAAAAAGTTCACAGTTATACTACCCATTACACCACCGGGGCACCGCTTTACCTCACCTTAGCCCGGCTTTTTCATGGTACGCTAATTTAGCATGCTTTCAGCCACTTCTGTATAACGTGCATGAGCCCACAAAACGACGAGCCGTGCGGCGTTCGATTTCTCGCCGGGGCGAAGCGTTAAAACCAATAGCTTAGCATTCATGGGTTGATAAATCTGCTGTGGAGCGTTATTGGCGTTTAACACAACACGTAACCACTAAAGGGGTACATATTCAGACATTCTGTTTTTTATGTATCTTTTTTGTATGGTGCGCGAAAATGTTCCGGTTCAGTGTCGTTGATTTAGCTTTTTTGAAGCTTCACTTTCTTCATTAAGCTTTTTTTAGTCAGTCGTTTAGTTTAAATGTGCGATAGCATGTAGCATCACCATCTTTGTGAAGGTTGGTGAATAACTGAATAATTCACTAGAATTTCAGGATGGTTCACAAATTTGAAGCGGAAGATGAGGATCCAAATGTGTCGAAAGCAAAGGACGCTAATCTACGAGAGGAAAGTGAAGATTGGTACGATATTCATGATCCACGTAACAAGATGAATCAACGGTCGGGCGTGGAGAGATCTAGGAATCACGGAGATCCATTGCAAGCTTTTTTTCGTCATGCTCTTTTACGATCTCCACCTTCAGAGCTCAGGACATACATTCTTATTACAAGCCAAATGAGATATTATTTGATTGATTGTCCCTCACTCAATACCGACTTAAGAAACTGGCATCGACTTGAGAAAGAGTTGAGCGTGATGGTGTAAACAGACATTCTGTTGTGATGATTTTAATCGTAAATAAAATTGTAATTTATGCTGCTGCTGATATCCCAAAAAACAAGGTCCAGGATTAGTTGTGATGTGTGTGCTTGTATGTGAAGAGCGACGAAGGAAGAAGAAGTGATATTCTATCAAGGTCTATAAATGCACGGTTAATAAATCGGATTCCCTGCTGTATTCTGTGTTGATGAGCTAGAAGAGGACCATGGGGGGTCAGGAAAACAGAGAAGCTACTGGAGGCTGGCAAAAAGGGCCGGAAATTATGTATTTTTTGAAACGGCGAATGCTGTAGTTGCTGTAGCTGCGCCCATTCCATGCATTTTCGTGAAAATTGTAAAAAAAACCGAACATTCAAGGAACGACCTCTTCTCATCTTCAATTTCCTTAAATATGACACCTCTGGGACTTTTTCCACGAATAATTGACCGTACCGAACGTCTAATGCGACCCCCTCTAAAACCAACATCTCCCATGTACGTCGTGGCGGAAGCTGGTGAGAGGATTTCCTCTAACAGAAAGCGAAGGCTGAAAAACCACATGACTGTATTGGAAAGCGAAAACAGGTACTGCTAATGGAGTACTACGAAAAGGGCAAGCAAGGTAAGGTTCGCATTAGCAGTTATGTTCGCGGAAGCGGAAGGAGAGGGGTTGAGGAGGGGGGGGGGGAGAGGATAGAAAAGCCGGATCGCTGCGGTCACTGACCGGAGTCCAAATCGAGGTTCTCCGTTGATTTGCCATCCTTTTTTGTTCCATGCTTTAGTTATAATAGGACGGTCGTTGGCCGGCAAAAAACCTATTCCGCTTTGCTAACGATAGCATTCCTATATAACAACAATTATCGAACAATCTAAGCGATGCTGGTTACTTCAATTACAACGCTTGTTTTGCAGGTTCCTAAAAAATGCTCATGATATACGAGTCGTACTCGCCACTGTCAACCGTCTGTAGAGCAATGTCCAACGAAGGATCGATTTATTTCTGATTTCTCACTTGTGATTCTAGGGGAAGGGAGGCCTAATACCCTTATTCTGGGGCTGTTCTGTGGTGCGTGAAAAGATTTAGAAATTCTAATAATTTTTTCGAAGTATGGTGGAGGTTGTTTTTGATTGTAAACTGCCCAACTCAGCTTTTCATGATGAGCGAGAGATGCGGGTTTAAGTCCCGTGTGGGGCGAAAGTTTTTTTTTCACTACCCAACATTCTTGTGGAGCTATATCGTCGAAGTTTTTTTTTCTCAAAGCCCTTTCGAAATGTTTTCTGACACTGTTATTTTGAGCATGCGAACTTTTATGCCCAGAGTTCAAAATGACCAAATCGA